GGGTGTGACCGCTTATTAGTTTTATTTTGTTGTTTTAATTGCTTATAACAAAAAAATCCAAATTGCTCTTTAAATTTTCGTGCACATTTCCTGTTTTGCATTTAGTCCTGCATCAAGGATCTCTTTGTTTTTTTTTATCAATTAACTGTTAGAATTTCCAACGTTTCCTAATGCTATAAACCATTTAGGAAATTTTCTGTTAGAGCAAATCTGAAATCAAATTTCAGATTTGATTTAGCCTTGTTTATTCGCGTGGGGAGGGGGCCACTTAATTAACCAAATATTCCCTCTCTCCCTATGGCCGGCTACCCATTACTCCTCCCCTTAATTAGGAGCTTAATTCATGGCTTCAAATAAGGCCTCATTAATTCCTAATTTCCCTCCTAAGCCTAAATTTCAAATTTCAAAAATTTGAAATTACAAAGTCCAAATTAAAATTAGGAAATCCTAACCTAGCTCTTGCTTAGCCCCACCCGCCCCCTTCCCTATTGTTCACCCAGTTAATTCCATCAAAAGTGCCAGTGGAAAATTCCCAAACGCCTCTTGCAGCCACCAAATTCCTGCACAAGGGTTCCACGTTCCAGCTATCCTAGATGTCCCATTTGTTGGTCTCCCCCTTCTCAGCTTGCTGCCAAGAAGAACCAACCCAGTTTCCTCACTGTTCTGTGACCTGAAGTCACCCCGATTGCTGTCCCGAAGCCCTCCAAGGGATGTTACAGGTTTTTCTGCAATTACAAATGCTGTCCAGTGAATTGGAGAGATCACCATTCCAGCCCACTGTCCACTAGTATCAAATTCAGCAAGCATAATTGTCTGGGATGACGTCGTAGCTGTCGTCCAGCAATTCTGCAGGCTTCCTTGCACCACACCCTCACCCGGGAGGCCCCAACCGCTGTCCATAATTCCATACTAATTCCAGACGGCTGTCCAGATCTCGTAGATTAAAGAGGTGGCTGATTTGAGGTCATCCACCACTGATTACTGCTTGAAATTGGTGAACTCTTTCCCTAATCCTTTATTTCCATCGTTACTCTATTTTGTGGTTTACTTGATTCATAAGAAATCTTGTCAATTGTTCTCCGCTTCATCTTAGAGTTTAATGAGTTGAGTGAGGGATCATCTTGTTGTTAGTGTAGGGATTCATTGTTGAAACCTATCTCGCATGCAACGTTAAGAGTAATTGATTACTTTTGTGGTTTTAACTTTTATAAATGTGACTTAGCCTAAACTTATGATACCGCTCTCTTGTTTTATCTCGTCGTTTTATCACTTAAAGCTTTTAAATAATATTGTTCTTTGGATCAAGCGTGCAAGTTCCTAATTCACCCTCCTTTCACATATGTTTCACATCACATACTTATTACATTCTTCACAAGAAAAGAATTATGTAATGATCCCATAATAATTCCTTTAAGCATTCATTGAATTTGATGACTGCCTTGATTAGAGGATGAATATGATTAAGTGCTAAGTAGTCAAGTGGCATAGTTAGGTCAAACAAACCAAATAAAGGCCTTGATATATACAACCTGATGGTTGTTTGCAAAAAAAAGAGAAACAGCAATGAAACTTGCAAAGTTGCAATGCAAAAACACAAATGGATAGCACAACATAGGGTACAAATGTTGTTTGGACAGATCGGATCATTTGCAAGGAGGTAAATTGCGTGCTGCAATACAGGGTAGTAGAGGTAGTCTCGTGCAGGCTAGCAAACACATGGTATTGACGTGAGCATTTGCACGGTTGAGAGGGGTTGTCGAGCGATGATGGAATTAAATTTTGGTAATTAAATGCAATGGTGAATCCAGATTGGAGGGATGCAATTTCTCTAGTTGCAAATATGAGGACTAACTGGTGCGGGTGAGCTGGCATGACAACCCATGGGTACATGGGATTCTAATTATCGATGCAACTCAAAGGAGCATATGATTGGGGTTAGAAAGCGCGTAGACTGCGCTTGGGTGGGAGCAAATCCCACATTGATGTTGCAATGTGTGAGGAACAAGATGGTGAATTGCAATCAAGATACACAATAAAAAAAGATCACCATTAGTTGAGGGCCTGCGCAAAGAAGAGAGAACATAATTGTGGATGGTTGTGGGATTAAGGCATTGCCAAACAGAAGTAAAAGTTAATTGATGCTCTGAAAATCATTCAAATGGGAGTAATGATTTGGCTATAATAACAAAATTGATGAAAATTAGGGTAAAGGGAAGAATAATAAAGTATTAGAAGATGAAGACCCAACGTATGCGAAACAGAAGAACATATAAGAAGGTGATCCTATTTTCAATTCATTATTCATTTGAATTCCATTACAAGCTATGAAACCCCTATTCATAAAAATAGAGTTAACAAGACAATCTCAAATCAAATGAGTTAAACAATCATAACCAAATCAATATGGAGTTTGAAGTAGCTGTCAAAAATTATGAAAACAACAACAACAACATCAAGTCTTTGTCCCACTACGTGGGGTCGGTCAAAAATTATGAAAACAATAACCGTATATATCGCATTAGCACCTGAAATTGATTCAATCAGTAGAGGGCAAAATGAAATAAGGATATGAAATTTGGTGAGGTATTTGAATGTAGCACTAGGAAGTTTATCTCCAAATTTCATGGAATTTTGGTTTGATTTGATAGGGTACTCGTAGTAAGCAACCATGAAATTTCAACAAACCAAAAAATAGAAATTGTCGTAATGGGATCTTCGGCTTGAAGGGGTCTCAGTTTGAGGTTGTTGTAGATGATTTTGAGGAGTTTGTGGCTCTTACTTTTGGCTATTATGGGCATGGGTTGATGCCGAAGATGTTAGCAGATAAATGGAAGTGCTAAAACAAAAAATATAACACCAAAATCAAAAACAAATGTTAGTTTGATACCAAAATGGAGTGTGTGGTATCAAAACAGTAAAGGTTGTAATAAAAAATGAAGAGAACGTAGAGAAGGAGATGGAACAAGAAGAAGATAAACTAAACTTACATGTTAAAACTCCTAGCACATAGCATGGTGAAGATCCTTGGATGTAGCATAGATCCGGAGGAACGCATAGCACCAAAAAAGCCATTTAAGGACTCACCAATAGGGTAGCCAAAACTTCCACTAAGGATGGTTTTGTATATTTCAAATATTTATTCATCATTAATCCCAATACCAGGAAAAGATGTCCATATGAAAAGAAGCTTTAAATCAAATAGATATAAATACAAACCTTCTGTAACTAAACAAAATCCTTAACATCCTTTTCCATTAAAGCATAAAAATAAAAGAACGTAATTATTACATAAACATAAATCTAAACATGTAAACAAAATATTTAGCACTATGATCTTCTGACACCATACTGTCACTCAAAACTTTTTCAAGTCTCAAAGTTGATCAAAGAATTGAATCCCACAATAAAAAAAGGATTTGCATGTTCAAATAAAATTTTATTAACCATCCATGAGCCATTTAGTGATTTAGCTATTTATAATCCTCATTGAATAAGAAAAAGAAGCTTCCCAGAAACAATCACTGAAATCATCCACATGCACATCATTCACTAAATTATGCAATCACAAGAACCATGAGAAAAAGTATTTCAAAATTGATGGTCCTAGAGAAGACTCAACAAATGGAACCACATAAACAAAGCAAAAGAAAGGCATAAACTGCTGCATCTACAAAGGAACCGTAAAGGAAATAGAACTAAAAACAGCTCATAAAGGAAACAAAAGAACAAAGAAATCACAGAGGAATCGAAAAACCAACAATTTGAGCTTTAGTATAGCCTCTAAAAGCTGCAATCTTATGAGATGTCCGCATAGGACAAAATCACCACATCACTTGGTACCTTCAAAGGCCGTTTATACTACAAAATCAATCATTTATAAAAGAAATCAATAAAATCAATAAAAATAAAACGTCCACTATAGACCTTTTTTAACAAAGAGTAGAAGTCATATTAAAATAAGAATCATTTTTTGCCATGCTATTTGGTTTTTATTCCACTTTATTACTCTTTCAAATGCCCAAATTCTATAAGACATCTAAATAAGATTAAATATTATTAAGTCATCAAAAATAATAAAGAAGATTCCAACCTATGACAGAATGGACTTAATGGCGTCCTTGCTTTGACTCTAAGTATCAATTGGTCAATTGTTTTCCTCTGCTTTTCCACCCCTCAAAGCCCCCCACTCCCAAAGCTTTCTTTTTTCCCCTTTTTTTATTATTATTTTTTTTTTGTGATACAGAGAACTTGAAGAGAAGCTTTTGCTGGTTATATAGACTTCTGACATGATTATAATGCCACCAAATAATAAAAATGTGGCCTCCGATTTCCCATTCTTTCAAAAAGGGATTTATAAGTTCCAAGGCACCAATTATTATTAAAATTTTCATAACATCCTCAAATTCACATGCCTACAATGACACTAATTAAACCACTCTAAGCACCTTGTTGAAACCCTTTTAAGCCATACTTTCCCTTACGAAGATATTTTTTCTTTGAGAAAAACCACACCCAAAAATTCCGATGCTTAAAAACTAACAGAACCATGTAAAACATAGTTTTTGTTTCCAAGACAACCAAGCTGCACATCAATACTTCTTCATAAAAAAAAAAAAAATTGCAATATCTCTGCCACCAAAAAGGTTTAACGCAAATTAGGAGAAAATTTGCTAACAAACAGAATCAAGTAGAATGTGGCCCGTGTTACCAATAAATAAAGGGCACACAACAAAACATCTTCAAACCATTTTCTTCTGTTACAACTCGGCCTCGGAAACCCTTTAATCGCAATAATCAAGACAACATGCAACCCCTTGTAGTGATCAATTCAATAACTATTTCAGGTCAGATTTCTAGAGGAGAAAAATTTCACATCAAAAGGTATTTCATTTCTGAATCAAAACCCCAAAATCAAGCAAAGCACAAGTTCACGATCTAGAACGTTCAAACCCACAATAAGAACAATATCAAGAATTTAAAAAATAAAATAGAGAGATTACCAATAGGTTCCGATGAGCGGACCAAGGAGAAGAGTAGCGCTGAGCCAATTATCAGAGACTTTGTGGTGAATCTTGGTCGTAAGATCTTTCCACAATCCCGGCATAACCTTTTGCTGGAATGGCGACAGCGAATAAACCACTGCTTTCATCCTCACCGGCGTTTTCCCCATCTCTCCCTCGATCTCTCGATCTCTCTCGATTTCGATCAAAACCCTAACAAAGCCGATATTGAACTATAGACTAGTTATCGAACCAGGCGGAAGTCTTTCGATTCCTAGCTGATTATCTAAGTCGGCTTTAGGTGTGAGCCCAATGGACCGGCCCACTAAACAAATTCTATCGGCCCACTCAATATTATTAGTTATTTAGTTATTGATAAATATTTATTTATACGCAGCCCATCTAAACTTAGTCGACAGCTTGGTTTTCATCAAAATATCTTATTTTAGGATTTAATTTCTCAAAGTAATAAAATAAAAAAGAATTAGATTATTTATTAATTTTGAGAAAAAAAATATTTATTTATTAAATTTATCAAATTAAAATTTATGATTTTTTAATTTTGTTCAGACAAATGATACATTTTAAAAATTTTAAAGGAAAAAATGGAAGAGGATATTTTGATAAAAATTTGATAATGATGATTTTTAAAATCTTTAAATATGCTCAAAGATTGGTGAGATTGAAGAGTAAACTAATTATATATAAGTTATACTCATTCAAAAAATTTCAATCAATGGCTTAAAATTTCATCCCTAATGAAAAGATTCCCTTATAATTTTTATATTAGCTTTTGAAAATAATCATAATGACTAAAAATATAATATTTTCAAATTTTATTAATCATAGTAAAAATTTTATCATAATTATTAAAAATAGTAATATTTTGTTTAAAAAAACATTATCACAGTTAAGATCGATGTTAAATCTTGTAATTATAAATATTAATAAAATTATTTTAAGAAAATCTTATTATTATAAATTTGGAAAATTATATTAACCTTAATCCATTTTTTATTAAAAAACTATAATGTTGGAAAATTTTAATATCAAAATATCATGACTAAAAAGTATTCAATATGAGTATCAAAACTCTTACATATTATTTGAAGAAATTATGCGAAATATGTTTTATACTCACAAAAAAAATCATGTATAAATAATATAAATAGTATGTAAACAATGGAAAGTAAAATAATATTTGTACTATGTTTTTATAAATCATAATTAGTGTACATCAATGGAACTAGAACAATAATAAATGAAAAGAAAATTAAAAGAAAAAAGTGCAAAAAGAAAACTACTCAAATACAAAGGAACTGCAAGTAGAACTATAAAAAATTAAAATGTCAAATGAGATCTTTGTGCTAATAAGTATACTTCTGAGATGACGGTCTACGAAGAAGTTTGGCAGAATTCCTATTATGAGAAAGATTAACAATGGAACAATTATTAGGTCAGGACACCTGACGTAGTTTTACATCCGGACGTCAATAATATGTCTCCACGTGCTCTTACTTTTTACCGCGCGGCCCGACGATCCGACCCAGAATGGAACCCGGTATTGCTATGTTCGTGTATTGCTAGGTATTGCTCGGTATTGCTAGGTATTGCTTGGCAATAACGAGAAATACCGCTCTGTCAAGACCAATACCGAGCAATACCTAGCAAAACCAGGTAATACCGAGCAATACCCTGGTCTGCACAAATCAGCTATATAATACATAGCAATACCGGGTTCCAGTCTGGTTCGGGTCGTCGAGCGCGGTAAAGAGTAAGAGCACGTGGCGACATGTTATTGGCGTCCGAATGTAGAGCTACGTCAAGTGTCAT